AGGAAAACACTTTGTTTCTTAGATTTTTCTCCTGACCTTAGAGTCTTTCCAAATCCTGGTGGAGTTGCTCTAATTACAGCTGGTAAAACTTGTACTTCCCTGAACAACCAAGTAAATTGTGGCCGATTGACTGTGTTGTAATGTTACAGGGCGTGTAACGTCAGGGCCCAGGAGTAGGGAAATGCAGGAAGTGAATGTTTATATGTGGTCTTTGTGTATCTGCTGGTTCAGAAATGAATCACTTTTCTTTTTTTATCAGTGCCCAAGGTACTGCTGGAGAGGTGGAAGAGGTCAATGACTAAGGGGTCCTATTTTTATTGAAGTTGAGCAGCTTCTTCAGAAGGAAATACAGAAATGTGGGACTCGGGTGCAAGTCTGTCCTCTCCACCACATTGCTTCTCTCTTTCTTCAGGCAGTAGATTGGTAGGGAGTCCATTTTAAGTCCATCCTTGGCATAAGAGACGCAGTTTGCATCACTATATATTCTATATATAGTCTATATATTCCCTCTTTCTCTAGGTCATCTTAGTTTTTGTTTATTATTTTAGCTTTTTTACTAAAGGATAATGCAGCTTGCACAGTTCCTGTATTCATAACAAATTCTAATTTTCTGTGGGCTTTTTTTTTTATCCCCCCTTGAAGAGATCAGCGTTAGCTGATGTCTGTTCAGACAAAAGACACACTGATCTAACGAGAAGTCTTCCCTTATGCCTAAGCTGAGATTTCAGGGATGTTCTTTGTATAGGCCATTGCCTTGTTTTCCATCTTCCTTTAACAGTCCTCTTACAGCACTCTTTAATTTAACCGAGCCTTCAGGCAATAGAAGGGCCTGGCTTGTTTGCTTGTTATGAGTGTGTGACTCGAGTAACAGCAGGCTGTGTGAAATAGGTTGCTCTCACTTCTGCTCGAAGTGCAAAGAATTCCACAGGGTGTAATCTGCATGTAGCGTCCTGGTGGAAATTTTTACTTTAATGACTGAATATGAACATCTGCTAAGTCTTCTATCTGAAAGTAGATCTTCCAGCATGAAGTTCAGGACGCGTCAGTGAGATGGTGAAACTCGAACTGTTCTTTCCCTGTGCAGAACTTGCAGTGTGCAAATAGAAGACCTCATTCTTAGGCTAAAAGCTCTCCAAGGACTAAGCATAATTGGAAAAGAAAAAATTTTAACCTTCTTCTAAAGTTCTTCAAGTATAGTCTAACACAACATATTGTTAAAAGCTTTTGTACTCTTAAGACCTCCATAGCAGTAATTCTTGAAGATAAGTATTTTGGGGGAAGAGCAGTTACAAAGCTCAACAATAGCTTATTTTGTTATTTTTTTTTCTTTTTATGCTTTTTTTTTTTTTCCCCCTAACCCTACAGAAACCTGTGGACTTGTGCTGAGTCTTTGCCATGTTGTCCATTATAATAAATGAGTCGCAGAATGAATTACCACAGTTTTCTGCATGCTATGGATTGGGTTTCCTTGCCTTCTGTAATGTTAAAATAGAGGTTATAGTGCAATATATTTCTGTTTTCAAAATTATGGTTTTAACTAATGGAAAAATGTGAGAATCCCTGAATTTGTGCTAGGTCTCACTGGAACTAATAGTCTGAAAACCTTGAGATTTTTTGGCAGTTTTTACCCTGCACTTAATTTGGAAATTCAGTTTCATAGCGCATACAGTATTTGGTTGCTGTGTAGATGGGGGGACAGAAGGGATTTGCTACAAACCGTAAGAACTCAGTGGAGGTGTGTGTATCATCAGTAATTTTTTTTTGAGAATTTAAGGCCAACGGATAAGCCAGATTGCTCTAGCAACCCTGCAGACTTGAGACCATTATCTTTCATCTAGTTACTTTGGAAGTGCGCTACCCTGTGGCTGTGGTCAACACTTTCTGCTGCTGTTGGCTTGGGTGCTGAATGAAACCAGCATCGGGACAGCAGAAGTTTTGTTCTTCCTGTGGCCTGGTTGTGGTTTTTCACCACGTTTTGAAAAGTATAAGGAATGGTGTTCTACAGAGTAACATCAAGAGCATCGTTTTGGTTTTTAGAGGTATGTATTTAAGTGTATTTTTAAAGAGTCTTTTATCTTTTTCTGTGCATTCTGCTGCATGCCAATAACGGCCGGCACTATTCAGCACTGGTGAGGCCACGCCTGGAGTCCTGGGTCCAGTTCTGGGCTCCACAGTACGAGAGAGATGGGGACATACTGGAAAGTGTCCAGCAAAGGGCCACGAAGATAATGGAGGGTGGAGCATCTCTTGTGTGAGGAGAGGCTGAGAGAGCTGGGACTGTTCAGCCTGGAGAAGAGAAGGCTCGGGGAGATCTCATCAATGTTTGTAAATACCTGAGGGGAGGGTGCAAAGAGGAGGGAGCCAGGCTCTGCTCAGTGGTGCCTAATGCCAGGACTAGAGACAATGGGCACAAACTGAAACACGGGAGGTTCCCTCTGATCATCAGGAAACATTATTTCACTGTGAGGGTGACCGAGCTCTGGCACAGGTTGCCCAGGGAAGCTGGGGAGTCTCTGTCCTTGGAGATACTAAAAGCCGTCTGGACATGGTCCTGGGCAACTGGCTCTAGGTGACCCCGCTTGAACAATTGAGGGTGGACCAGACGACGTCCAGAGAGATCCCTTCCAACCTCAGCCGTTCTGTGATTCTGTAGTAAATATCCTATTTATGCTCCCTGTTAAAATTAAGTGTCGGAAGGATTTTTGTTTTCACCACCTCGGCAACAGTAGCTAGTGGAATCCCATAACCATTTCCATAGATGTGACAAGGATTTATCTCTGTATTTTCCTGAAAGGGCTGCCTCATCCTGATTTTCATTCTAAAGGAGTTGGGGAAGGTAACTTGTTCTCCGTCCTCCTCTGTCAGAATGGAGATCTGTTACTTGTTTGTGGAGTACACTGTAGGCTAATACTGATGCTGCAAGAGGAGGAACACTTGGTATCGGCCACGTGAGTCAACCGCAGCCTGCAGATCTTTCCCATAACTGCCTGTCCTAGAGCAAATAGAGCCTCTCTCATCAAGCAGGCAGAAATTGTTTGGCCTTGCGGTTTTCTGCCTCATGTCTGCTTTTTACCTGTGGTTGGCAGGAAGAACTGAGGCCGAAGAAGAAGCGTTCCAATGGAGCGGGTGTCAAACCAGGCAGAAACTTTTCTGCTGGTTGGAGCAATTGATCTTTGAGACGTTTGGTCAGGAGCTGTAGGGAAGTTGTGGCAGTGATTTGGGCCCTGTTGCTATTTGGCCATACAGTCCAAGGAATAGACTTGTCTGACAAGTACTTTCTATTTCTAATTGTACCTTTAACATACATAGAGGACTTAACACTTCACATATCATATAGATCTTCAGTACTCGCTCCAAGAGTTTTAAAAGGGCTCTTAAGCATCAAAGATGCTACTCTAAGGGTAGAGGCTTAATCTTTGAATGAGTCACACAAACACTGTGCTAACACGCTAAGCAGTGAAGGAAAAACGCTATTAATCCCATTTTTTACATGCAGTTATGCCACGGCGCCTGTGAAAAAGGCTTTTGCAACAGTTCTTTCTTTGACGAAACTCTCTGAGCCCCCTTTCCTAGCATTCAGCCTGCCCCTCCACCCTCTCTAATCAACAAACTTCTCATAAGCCAGTGTATACAAAATTAAATGGGAACATGCCTGAGCAAGAAATGCAAAGCTAGTTGATGAGTATTCATAACCACCATTGTGGTTGTGAATAAATAAATGCCCTCACTGTAAACCATTCCAGTTTTGAACTCTCACACGTTGGCCTTCAAGAAAATAATATGCTTCACCTAGTGTACCAGGTGTTCTTTTAAAAACTACGTTGGTGAAGTCAGGGAATAATTAAGCATCAGAAACTAAATAGCAGTTAAGATTTCACAGGCAGTTGACATCAGACAAACATCTTGCCATGAGTGTGAGTATTTTTTCCAAAATAAGCCTCTTGGTTTGATCATGTTGGCTGACTGAAAAAGTACTTGTCGGAAACAAGCCTGAGAGCCCAGATCTGCACTTCTCCTGGAAATCAAGTGTCAGGGATTCACTAGACACAAACTAAGTGGCAAACTGCAGTTTCCCTGCCCGCCCTGTTCCCACTAAGCCATGCCTGTTTCAGAGCTGTTAATTTTCTTTTGCTCCCATTTCATGAACAACTTAGTTCCTTTTGTGCTTTCTGCCATACATCTGCTCTGTGGAGCACAACTGAAACTGTCTGGACCTCCGTGACCTATGTTTCAGGCTTGAAGAAGGATCTTGGTGTATACTGTTCCCCGATGGTATTATTTGATCTAACAAAATACTGCTTTTGCCAACAACCTGCAGTAGCACTATTACAATTTGTTTTCATAAAATACTGAACTTTTAAAAATCTGTCCACTAAGGAAACCGAGCTGTTAGACAATATTTTCCTTTTTTGAACCTATACACTGTGGCAGTGTGCTTTTTGTTTATATTTCCAAACATATCTAAGATCGGTTCCAGTCATTTTTTACATTTGAGTGCTTGCCTTTAAATTGCCAACCTTTAATATTTGTCATGTTGGCAGTTGAACAGCAGTTATTTTTTTCCTTGTGTAAATGAATAGCCACGTTAGTTAATAAAATGTCTTTTAATATGTATTATGATTTTATTTACAACTGTCAATATTTTAATAGTTGGGTTAAGTTCTGTTTTTTCCTAAATATTTAAACGAATGCTGGTTTTCCTTAAGTATAGGGAAACACTGTAAGAAAACTTTTGCCACGAAGAGTTGTGCTGACTGTCTGGATGCCTGAGAGTAAGGTGCTATGGGGCATAAACAGCTTTAGGAAATGGGAAATGCTTTCCCATTTGTAAAATGGCGTGGCTTATTTCTTAGGTAAGAGAAAAGCGCAGCAAAATGTGTGAATGTTGAGTGATGCAGGAGAAGAGGAGGGAAGAAAAGGGTAAAAGAATTAAATTAATATGTAAACAAATTACACTCTTGGTCTGCTGATCAGTTTATTAATAATTTGTATTTCAATAGGTGGCTGAATCCCTTATTTATTATTGGCCATAAACGGAAGCTTGAAGAAGATGACATGTATAAAGTGCTGCCAGAGGATTCCTCGGAGAAGCTTGGAGAGGAATTGCAGTGGTAAGGAGAAAAATCGTTGTTCTCTTCCATTGTATTTCTGCTGATGAAGGCAAGAGTTTTATTCCTATTCTAAAAATTAAGAGAGGTTGTTGTAAAGTTTAACAAGGTCTACTGTTAAAAATGCTGAAGAGCTAAGAGTAATATTTAGAACTTGTTTACCATGGAAGCATTTTAATTTTTTCAAGTTACACATAATGAAAATGTATTAGAATATTTCCATTATGTCATTTATAATTAATATGACACTTTGCAGAATGCTTGGAAAAGAAAGACTTTTCATCAACTGTTACTGCAGTAATCCTTAATAAATTAATGTGAGTCTTCTGGTCTGTGGTAGAATAGCTATGGAAACTTTTAAAATAAAAGTAGGGGAAGAAGTTTTAGGTTTTTTTGTTGTTGTTTTTGAGCACAAGCTGAATTAAGTGAGAGCTGTGTACGCTTTATATATGTGTGTATATAGAGATATGTATGTTGAAAATATGCCAGTCTTTGGCAAAGTGGATGAAATGCCTTGGACGTCTAAAAGCTTGCATCTAGGAGGTATTTTTATTTTGTTATAAATACTCTTTCATGGACTGTGTACCAATTCATGTAATCATGAGCCCAGGAGGATCTCTCTCTTTTTCTTTTAGTAGTGAAATATCTTCCAAGAATAACCATTTATGTAAATTGTCTTGAACCTTGTAATAGAGAAGATTTTTCTCTTTGAATAATCTTTTGTTAAATATAATTAGAAGAAGAGGTGTCTCCTAATGAAAGATGGCCCCTGTACTAAGAAAATTGCTATTTCTTGCCTTTACGCTGAAGGTAGAGCAAATCAACTTTCCTAATAGTTTGGTTGGATGAGAGATTCTTCAAGAAGTACAAAAGAATCCCAAAACAAAAGGTTGTGACCAGGTCTTATATCACCCTGCTCTGGCTGAGTTAAGTAAAGAAAGAGGGACAGCGATAGGCTCATAGGAGTGCAGCTTTTAACATCTTTCTAGCTGGAGAGCTTTGCCAAATTCCGCGGCTGTCTTGAAGCAGTACAGGGAGTTCGCTGTGGAGGAAGATGGACTCTTTCCAGTGATTCTTACAGTAAAAGCACACACTTTCCATGAGTCAGGAAATGGTAGAAAATACAGCATGCAAAAAAAAAAAATGAGAGGTTTTTAATTCTGCCGTGTACTTGGCCAAGAAGCAGAAAATATAATTCATAAATAGCTACCCAAGGAAGTAGCCTTTTCTCTTGGGCCAGCAAACCCCAGAATCTACACAGTTACAATTCTGATTCTGAAGCATTTAGACAATAACTTTATAATCCTTGTAGCAAAAAAGAGGATAAAAATAGAAAAAGTTTTGTTTTCCTATCCATACTGTGTGCTTCAAACTTGTGTGCCTTGTTACAAAATAATTTGGCTTTCGTGCCTTAGACTCATTTCAGCCCTCAGACTAGCAAGGTCAGAGGCCTGGCAGAAAATATTTAGCTGCTAGAAGCAAGGGGAGTATCCTGCCTGACAACAGTGTGCTTTAAGAAGTCTGCTTAAGTTCTGATACTTTCTTCTTAAAATCATGCTTGTTGTTACTGTCTTTGATTTTAATGTGAACAGATTGTGTCCTACTTGTGGGCAGGCACGCGGTAACGCAAAGGTATTCGCCCTTCTGCTGCTGCAATCCTTGCCTTCAGAGAGGCTTGGGGAGTGTAAAGTGACAAAACTGCTGCAGACAGTTCCTTCTGCTCTTGTGCCATATCTGCTTGTCCTCATCAAAGCACATGGTGGAAAAAAGAAAGGGCCAGACATGAGAAAGGGTTGTGCATCACAACCTTTCTGGGGAAGTGCAGAGCATGTAAGGACAGACACTACGTGCTGCCTCAGTTTAGTCCACAGTCAGGAGATCCTATGATAGTAGACTCTTAACTAAGGAGGGTGGCTGTCTGATCTGAGAGGAGGAAGAAAGAAAGGATTCCTCATCTACAAATGTGTCAAAGGCGATAGTAGTCAACAGTGGTGAATATAGAAGAGCAAATAGACCTATAATATTAAGTACAATGTGTTTATGTGAATGAGAAACCATGACTACCTGTTAAGTTCTTTTATATTATTTTTGTGACCACGGCAATCTGTCTGTATGTCTGAAAGTATCTTATTCCAGGAAATTGCCTTATGATTTTACTTCTGTCCTCCAGCGTGTTTGCATTTTGTTTGTCAGGTACTGGGATAAAGAAGTGCAAAAAGCAAAAAAGAGAGGAAAACAGCCACATTTAACAAAAGCCATTATTCTTTGTTACTGGAAATCCTATTTAGTTTTTGGAATTTTCACAATGATTGAGGTAAGTGGTGTAAAATGTCACACAATGCACTTCTTAGCTAACAGCAATGTGAAACTTGGCCTCTTAAACTGCATGATACATACTGGTGACTTCATGCTGGGTTGCTCAGAGAATCTGTAAGGTTCATGTACTCTCTCAGAAAAGTAAAACAGAGCTACAGCCCTGTAGAGACTGAAAAATTGAGTCATAACTGTGGGATTAGGGATGTGGAACAAGATTGCTGATTTCAGTGCAATATTTTTGAGACATTACAAGCCATTGACTTGCTTTGTAAAGCCACTGACTTGCTTTGTAGGGCTTAGCTATATTCTATGTATTGGAGTGGGGTGCCCCATAGAAAAAGGGGTTTTTGTTTATGTTAATGACTGTGAAGGAGACACTGTCATCTTTAAAAATGAAAGTGTAATATGTATTCATGCAGTTTTTATAACATCAAAATTTGTATTAGTGATTGAGAGAGTTCTTTTTAAAGATTCAGTTAAATTTTAATGTGGCACATATTTTTTTTTGGATTATGTGCTGATAAAAATTGGCTTAACATTTTAGAGCACAATAAAGACAGAAATAACAGGGGATGTGAACTTGCAGCAGTATTTGGCTCATGTTTGCCTGGTTGTAAACTTGGGTAGCATGGTATGATGTGAAATTGTTAATAATTTCCCCCCCCCCCCTTTTTTTTTTTTTCAGGAAACCCTCAAAATAATTCAGCCAATATTTTTGGGAAAAATTATTAATTATTTTGAAAACTATGATTCCTCAGATGAAGTACCTTTGAATTTTGCATATTGCTACGCAGCTGCTCTGTCTGTGTGCACGCTTATTCTAGCTATAATGCACCACTTATACTTCTATCATGTACAGCGAGCTGGCATGAAGCTGAGGGTAGCTATGTGCCATATGATTTATCGGAAGGTAAGCAAACCTGTTCACAGGTATATTTGGCGTTTGACAGCTATTTCATTAGAGGAGTTTAAAAATGCAGTTATTTGTTATGTTCCTGCTTGCAATTCCATTGAAGTTACTCATTTGTAGAAATGTAATGCGTACTAATATGGATCAGACCTTAAATGTATATATGTGCTTTTGCTCTCTCTTTGGTAATGCGGTGTCTGAATGACAACTTCAGTCCTCCTAGCGAAGGTGGTGAATTAAATAGCCCTAAAGCCTAGAAGGAGCTGCTGATTTTCACCTGCTCGTGCTGTTGGAGAGGAGCCCCCTCCTTGCTGGTGGAAGGGTTGTGTGCTGGAGTGGTAAGAGGCTGTCAGCGTGCAGCAGGAGAGGGGCAGAGCTCCCAGGGGACGGTGGCAGTTACTCAGCCCTGCAGTTTCATCCCCGGGGAGGACGTTATGCTTGGCTGTCACCATCTGCTTCAGCGCGCTCAGTTGCCTGGGAATTGCTTCCCTGTCCAATTTCCCCCTTCCCTGGCTCTGTGGTGGTTAATGGTGGGATTTATTTATATTTTATTCCAGTGGTGCTGTAGAAGTAGTGATTGCCTGCCTTGTGGGTCAGAGAGGCTGCCCCGTCTCTCAGGGCATCCATCAGGTTATTCCAGGGAGAGGCTGCAGTACTGTTGTTGCCCCATCCAGGCTGGTGGGGATGGATGCTCAACATCTTACAGGCAGGTCCCTTTAGTATCCCTCCTACCTGGAGGGGGAAGAAAGAGAAGAGTGGGCAGAGGAGGGATGGTTCAGAATCAAGCTGAATCCTAAAGGTAGGGTAGAGCTGTTTCTTACGATCAGTTACTGGTTTTACTGTGGGAGCACTGAAGTCCTTCATTAAAGCCAATGAAGTGTGAGAAGGGTTGTATGTTCAGTAAGCTGCTGTCCTTGAGTACACATGAAGCCGAGGCCGTGTCAGATGGAAAGTGGAACAAGAGAAGTTATGGATATTACCTACAGGAAGGAGTTGAGCTTCACCCAGGATGAAATGCTGGCCTTGGTGTGCTATGGGGAGCAAGCAACCCAGTTGTAAATGTCTGCTTCCCTCTTCCGAAGCTATTGGTAATACCTAAACCATTGAGCCTGTCTCTGCTTCCAAGCAGCAAGTCTCTGCTGGGGACGCTAGATGGGAAAATAACCTATTTTGCTAGAATTCTGACCTGCTGGTCTTGCCTCAACAAAGAAGTGTAATTGAAGGATAAGGACTGTAAAGTTTCTTTAGAGTGTAGAGAAATCCATGTTATTTTAGCGATAAAATATAGGTATCGTCCACTTAAGGCAAACACTTGTACTACTGGTATAGGTCATCCGAAGGTTTTGGGCAAAGCAGTAAAGTGAGGAGAGTAAAAATGGCCCCATTGTAAGTGTTGATTGCTTTTCGTGCGCATATTTATTCTCCTCCCTCTTCTGATACCTTGGAAATTATCCTTTGGGAGCTCGGCTCTAACATGGCACATTGCTTTCTTGTACATAAACATCTCTCTAAGGTATTAATTTACTAAACTGATTATCATAACAGTTTGAAATTCATGAAATATGTATATAGCAATGTTGTTTGTTGCTGTGTTGATATTAGCTTAGAAGCTTGGAAAAGAAATGTTCATAATGTGCACCCTTATTTCTAGAGGTGTGATTAAATGGAAAATTAATCTCCCTTCATCTCATAAATGTTTACTCATGAGGGTGAAGGCTGAGGTCACACTAAAACATCGATAAACCTTTCTAATCATTTTGTCTTCATTATCTGAGGCTTATAAATAGGTCATACTTTATCTTCATATATGCTTTTTGAAAGAATCTGGATGCTAATTTACCATCACTTTTGCAGTGTTTGTTAATTGCTCTAGTAAATAAAAACTCGGATTTGCAAGAATGAATGGTTTGAGAACTTCAAATGGTCAGAATTCTTAAGTTTTAGACTCTTTTTCATTTCCTGGAAAGTTAAAATCTCATCTGCAAAAAGCCCGTATTCAGACTCCCAAGATGTTTGATGTTTTATGATCAGTAAGAAGTATTACTGATGCACGCAGGAAACTTGTAACAAAAATGAAAATGGAATCTGTCTCGGGAATTACAATCTCATGTTTCAAAACCAAAAGCTTACTTATGGGAGGCTGATTTTTTTTTTATTTTTTTTTTAAAAGACTTAACTTTTAGAAGTTCTTTGAGGTTCAGAATAAACACTAAAGCAGTTTAAGCTGTGGAATAGTTGGTTGAGACAGAAAGCAGCCAAAAAGGTGTCAGGAGTTATTTGGCTGAACAGTTACATTATTCCTTTCTATGGTCAGGTCTCCCTTTTTAATGTGCTTTTGATTTAATGATTTGGGGCAGGGAGACATTAAAACTCTTAAGATGGGAGTACAGAAGGCAAATAGTGGTTAAAGAATTGGAATTTGGCCTGTGCAGTTACATCTGGGGGGGAAAAAAAGCTTAACCTAAGACATCAAGTGTACAAACTGCTCTCATTATTTCATGTAATTAAAACCTATTTTCCATGAGAAAGTGTGCTTGTTGGGAAATATATCTGTACAGAAAGTTTACAGACAAAAGCAAGCAGCTTTTTGTGCTGAAAAAAGACAGATAATTGGCAAACGTAAAATAAAATGTAAATTCAAGCTACAGTTGCTTTTTAAAAGGTGTGTGGCTCTAGATAATCTTCAGTATTATTTCTCACCTTTGGTGTAAATTTATGTGTTATGATCAAAGCAGTATTTAAAGCCACAGTGTACTGGCTTTGGCTGGGATAGAACTAATTTTCTTCACAGCAGCTCGTATGGTGCTGTGTTTCAGATGTAGTACAAAGGAAAAGTACCAAACTGGGACTTTTTGGTAGAAATTGGTTATAGAAGTAAAACTGCTGCTTTGTGTCCAATGTTTCCATTTCCTTCTGTATGCTTTGCAGTCCAGACAGGTCTGTTCAGCCAGGAAAATGTAAGGCTTGTTTCACTTTAAAAGAAAAATAAAATAAAAAATCAAAACCCAGTGCTACTTCAAAAGTCGTTTTGAAACAGGAAGAGAAGAAAAGACTAAAATTGCATTGCCACTGACATTGGGAATGGCTGTCTCTTCCCTGAGAAGACAAATCAGTCACAGGCCAGCACCCTCCTCTTGGTTCAGATACTTGCATGGTTCCTCCTGAGACTGTCTTGCTCAAAATGAACCGGGCAAGTACATTTTGAAACTGTTTTTGCTGCCCATGTCTGGAATAGCTAGGAAGAGGTCAGAAAAGTGACTCAGGTGGCGGGTCCGAGACAGACCCAGGCTGTGGGCCACCAGCAGGACACCAGTGCAGTGTTCTCCTGGCTGGCTCAGGTGGACCTCAAACAGCAGGTATGTCTGCGTCCTCCTAAAGGAGCACATAGCAGCAGGTGCCGTCAACACACCCTGGTGGGCAACTTCTTCAAACAGGCATCACTTGATCTCCTGTGGTCTCAGATATCTAACAGCGTTTCTAGGAGCTTATCAACCTTGATTTTTGGTGTGGAGTAAACACAGTGGAAACATGGATGTGCTGTGGCTGCGTTACCCTGCAGGCAGCTTCACGTCGGATTTCACATGTACAAGACAAAAATGGCTTAAGACGGGGAATGAAGCAATGGTTCTCTCAAATAATTCAGTCTTGTCTCTCATACCCAGTATCCTGGATTTATTACTGGAATATCGGAGGCATTTTCTTAGTGGCGTTTTAAATGTTTCTGCCTGCTGGTTTCCTGCCTGCTTCAGTGCCTTTACCTGCAGAGCGTTTGAGACATGTTTTGGAAGGGTGCAGGGTGCTTCACCCCATGCTCCCTTATCAAGTCCTGTCCTGTTAGCTGCATTCCTCGGGACAAACAGTTCTTTGTGTCAGGGGTAGCAAGTTAATCTTGGTGTGAGATCTTTTGGCTGGTCTCCTACAGGGGTGAACTATCTCCGTTACAGGAAAACGTATAATGTGTTTTGTGTATTTCTTTTTTTACCTCTGCTGCAAAACCACGTTTTCTTTCTAGCAGGTGTAGAAGGAAGCAGGGACTGTTATCTGCATCTCTGAGCTATTTAAGTTTGGATCTTTGCAGTAATGTTGAGACTGCATATTTCCAGATGTGATTTTTTTGGGGGAGGAATTTTATAATCACGTGCTATTTTCTACTGATTAGCTTATTTATTAACCTAATTAAAATATTTGATATTTCCTCTTGTTGCTTTTCATAGCATGTGCTAAACTTCATTTAATATAATTCAGAAATCTCACAAATTTACAAGAGTTATTAACAAGGGAAATACTTATTAATTTGTAAAGGGATATTAACTCTGATTTGCGAAGACAAAAAGCACAGTTTGCATTGTTAACAAGAACTGTTAGTGTAAAATGAATACCCTGGGGTTTTTGTCTTCAGGAATCTCATTCCAAACAGAATTCTTTCAATTGGCCAAACATTGTCCTGATTTTAATTTGGTCTTCAGGTGAAGTTTTCTGTTCCTGTTTTGAACAGATGCTTGTAATGTGGAGGAGAGCAATGCAAAGGAAGAGTTACAGGCGCTTTTGTTTAGTTTTAATAACTTGTTACATCGGTATTTTCCCATTTTTAATCGCTTCAGACATGAAGACAGTTATGGCACATCTGTTCTTGCAGTCCTACCCTAGACTTTTTTTTTTTTTTTTACACTCTCTTCTTCAGGACTTTCTTCAGAATACTTAACCTAACCCACATATTATCTAAGGTTCTTAAACTGTGACCAGATATTCTCAAGCAAAAACTGTGATGTGCCTTCAGCTTTTGCCTTGTATTGTTCTTTTGTATTGAATCTTCTGTGTATAGGGATACTGTGATCTATAAGCTGTAACAATTTGAGACTGTTCTGATTTTTTTAGGCACTTCGTCTCAGTAACGTAGCTATGGCAAAAACTACCACTGGTCAAATAGTAAATCTTCTGTCAAATGATGTGAACAAATTTGATCAGGTAAGAAGTATTACAGATCTTTGCAAGGGGCTTACAATTGTGGGGTTTGAGTTAAGAAGTTTTTGTTTCCAACTGGAGGTTAAGTGTTTCTGACAAACATTTCTTCTAGGTGTTTCTTGAACATCATAGGAAGAGAAATATTCTCTTAAAATAAGTAGAGCATGTTGCACAGGACATCATCCAGGCGGGCCTTGAATATCTCCAGAGAAGGAGACTCCACAACCCCACTGGGCTGCCTGTTCCAGTGCTCTGTCACCCTCAAAGTAAAGAGGTTCTTCCTCATATTCAACTGAAACCTCTTATGTTTCAGTTTGTGCCCATTGCCCCTCGTCCTGTTGCTGGACACCACTGAGAAGAGTCTGGCTCCATCCTTGTGACATCCACCCTTGAGATATTTGTACATGTTGATGAGATCCCCTCTCAGTCTTCTCTTCTTCAGGCTAAACAAGCTCAACTCTCTCAGCCTTTCGTCATAGGGGAGATGCTCCAGATAAAACAAAAACAGGGTGGAAGTTTGCTTACTGTCTGGAGGTTAGGCACTTCTGTGTACATTTAGTTCTCTCTGGTGCAGAATTATCACTGGATGCCTCAGTATCTGCCACAGGCAAAGGTGCTTCCTCAGCTTTGTGTTACTGGGTTTTAATTTTTTAGCTAAGACCAAAAGCTAACTTCGTTTCTTAACTGTTTGTCTAGGTAACAATTTTCTTGCACTTCTTGTGGGCTGGACCAATTCAAGCTGTAGCAGTAACAGTCCTTCTCTGGATGGAGATAGGCCCATCATGTCTTGCAGGAATGGCAGTTCTGATTATTCTTCTTCCTATCCAGACCTGCATTGGGAGACTTTTTTCTTCCCTAAGGTAAGATTGCACATGCTGTGTTGTGGGTATTTGCTGTCCTGGTTTTAAAATGTGCATACTGGGTAGAGGTGGAGTACTGCTCTGTCTGAGATCAGCTCCTGTCTGGCGAGGCTTTTTGTGTTGTCTTTTATCTTTGCCGATGTTTTTCATAGTTGCTAATGTGAGATTTCTGAATTCCTGTTTAGAGACTTGAACTCATCTGCTTCCAGACATGTTGAAAATATCTGCTACTCATTAGCTGTCCAGTATATTAAAATAGTTGGGCTACTTCTGTAGCTACCTTGCTGTAGATCTTGGCATAGGATTGCGTAACTCCTTGAGCTTTGCCTTCGTGCGTTGATGCTTAGGGAGTGGCTACTAGAAAGGCAATACTGTCAGTCCTGCCATAAGTTTGACTTACTGGGGTGATACAGGAGTTGCAGCAGAAAGCTCTGAAGGTTTCATGTTCAAAGATCTTGCTCTCTCTCCTCCAACACAAAGATGTAGAGAGGAAAAAGGGGAAGGAACTGAGAGAGGAAGGAAGAAGAAAAATTATGATGGTGGTTTTGACGCCAGCTATGAGGTTTCTAACTACAGGGTCCTAGGCTATGGAGATACAAAATGAGTTTGCAGTAATTTTCCATGATCAGACAACCTTATTTTGTTTTTCTGTGACTGCCCTTAAAAAAAAGTTGCCTCAAGTGTGAATATTGAATGGTCTTCAATGTTTTTGCTTCCTAACTTTCTTTTTCTTTTGTAGTTAATCATGCACTACTTACATCATGAGTTTATAAATGTCTTTTGCATTTAAATGGGAATACTTTTGTGTTCCTTCAGTGTGTACACATATGCTTGGTAGTGTTATGCATCTGTGTTGCGTTTGTATTCAGGGTGAATGGGTTCCTTCTAGATCTTTGGATAAGTAAAACTTTTTTTAGTGAGTTACTGTTGTTTTCAAGTTGTATTTTAAGATAGGTTTTCCAGAGGTATTGAGACTGGCATTGCCATTGCATGGCTAGGTATGAAGAGAGAGCTGAGAATTACAAAATGAGACCAACTCGTAGACTTTCTTCGATTTGTAACCACTGTGATAGTTACTATGCTCATGTGCTGTTTCTCAAATAATGAGCCATTCAGTGTTCTCTGTCAAATTCTTAGTTTTTTTTATGATAAAACACTTCCAATCTATTCTTACATGTGCATTTTCACTGCATGTGTAATATGCATACATGAGTATCAAGTTACTTCACTGCTGGGTTTCTTGAGTTTTAAATTTTTGAGACTTTGAGCTTTGAGTCAATAGTTAAAATACTTAGCCCATAACTAGTGCCTTATCCATGGTGGTAAGCAATATTATCCCCATTTTACAGATGGGAAACTGAGGCATAAAGAGATTAAGGGACTTGTCCAGGGTCAGACAACAAGGTGACAAAAATCTCTTCTTGAAGGTATGTATTTTAAAAGCTAATCAGTGGCAGTGTAATGTTGTTTGGGTTTTTCCCCATTCATTGACAGCCACTTGTTTGGATGCAGTGCAAGGGAAAGAATTTGTTAACCAGAAGAGCTTTTGCTTGTCTACATGTGCACAGATCTTTGTATTTGTGAATAGAAATGTACGGTGAACAGAAGGAGTTAATGGAAAAACTGAAATAGATTCCAGCTCCATAATGATGAGTGTGTTCACGTGGCAGTTGCTGGGAATCTGCATGGATTTAAGGAAATCAGACTATGAAGAAGTAATTTAAGGATTAAAGCTTTTGCTAAAATCCAGGCACGCTCACTGTGGCAGCTAATTTGTGCTATTATTCAGCATTGTACTTGTGACCCAGTCTTGTAAATATGTGGACCAGTTCATGATGCAGGCATTAGCTTCAGTGCTGTAGGTGTTTGCAGAAATGGACTCAGTATCCTATGGAATGATATACGCTGTATTATGCAGTATTAGTTTTACCTGCACAAATACAAGAAGCTTTACAAAATATACATGACCTAATGTATTATTTGAGAAATAGTTCAGTTATTGGACTGAAGACCACTTTATATATCTATTTATTCACAAGAGCTCAACCCTTTCACTGCTTAGCCATGCAACTGCATTCTCATTTAAAGCCCTTTTAATTTTTTTTAAGAGAAAAACTATGTGGAACTGTTGTGTCAGACATGATTAAAACTCACCAAACATGCCTCATGAAAGCAAAAAGGAATTCTGCATCTTGCTTAATTTAGAATGGTTAGTAGTATCATAGAGGGGAGTTCTCAGACACTTGAAGAATTTTCCAGTCCTTTCCTATTGCATTCTTAAGCATGTTACGTGAGCGTGTGTTTCCCAGTCATCTTGATCTGCACGTACTCTGAACTTTATATTTTTAAAACTGGAGACATGTTTTCCTCTGCTGTAAATTGCCATCAGTATTCTGGAAGTCTGTGTACTTTAAACCGTTATATAGTATCTCTGAGGCTGGTATGTATGTACAATGTATGCATTTTGCAGTGCAGAGGAGTGTAACTTAAAAAAAAACCCAAAGAAAAATACACACAAACCCCCAACCTCTTGAACATTTTAAAGCAATTTGAAAGAGGGTGATTACTATGATAACATTTCATTGGGAAAACCAAAAAATTGGTGGTTTATGACAACTATAGCCTTTTTGATTCACACCGTTTAAAAAAGAAACCTCTGTTAGCTTTATTATTTTGAATCATCTTCAACCTTCTGTTACCTGGAGACCGAACCTAGAAGTTTGGTCTGAAAGGTGACTGTTCCGAAAGATCGCAGGTGAGAATTGTTTGCTGCTGCAGAGACATGAAGAACACATGCTAGATTTTGCCTTTTGCAGTGGCGGTGTGTGTATGGAGAAGAAAGGAGGAGCTCACACATTCTTTGAGGAATTGTTTTTCTTGTACTGTTCCTTTTTGGAAAGGGAAAAGAGGACTTATCAAAGATAATCTCATTCCATGTCAGTACGGTTGGTTTAGGCTAAGCTGTCTTCCTCAGTCTTAATAAGAAGCCTTGATTTTATTAGGGCGAAGTTCCCACATTTGTTTTGTCAGTTTTCTTGTATAAATATTTCTTAATATGCTGCTTCAGCCCTCCCAGTATTTACGGAATGCTGGTGTTGAGAAGTTTTTTTAAAATGATGAGCAGGTGCATGAAATTCTTTCTACTTAAGTGCTTAAAAGAAACACGGCTGTTTCTTCCAGAGCATCAGAGAAATCTTACCGGGGGCAGGTTAAGCTGACAAAACGCAGCCACCCCTTCTAAAGAGCTGCTTTTTTTTTAGTTTTTTTTTTTTTTAAATAGGATCTCTGAATCTTAGCTTTCATTGGTACATACAACAATAAATAATTTAGCAGGAAAAGGTATGCGTTATCAAAATAAGGCCTACCATAGCTCACTATGTGCGAAGCATGTTTGTTTACATGAATGAATTCAGAATTGTAATAGGCTTTATTAGCATGGTTTATGCATTCATTACATGGCTTTTAACTTTCAATGCTTTTTTCCTAATTAAAAGTATGACTTTATTATTTAATTATATATATATATTCCAGTTTGTTCATTAGTGCAAACATAATGTAGGACTAAAATAGCTATATTTACTTTAGTGTTAATTACAATTAATGCTTAAATAATAATTATTTATTAAACAAAACCGTATCTAGAATAGCTGTCCTAAATTATAGCTCCTGTATGGTTACTAAGTAATGTTTGCTTCAACTAGAGTTAATCTTCAAAGGAAACAAATGGAGGCCAGTTTCTTTAACAACATCAAAAGAGCCTTATGAAAAGGGTTGTTATTTTGGCATTTCAAAACAATTTTTAAAAGAAATTTTCTGATTTTTGTTTAGTTCTAAATTTAATATTGGTAAATTTTTTAAAGGTTTGGGTTTTTTTGTTTTTTTTTTGTACACAAATACGTTGTTTAAGGAATATCATGTGTTTGCGCAAGCTGACATATAATTCTAAACATTGAATCAACTCACAGTTCCCTGAGGGAATACCAGGAATGCAAACATACCAAATCTCTCTGCTGTGTGTCAGCTTTAAGATACTGTTTTAGGAAGACCCTTTAGTACAACTACAATTATATGAATCCTCTTTACAAGTAAAAGCAAAAACTTCATTAATATGAGTATGTTGTGCAATGGTAAATAGTCTCTCTTCTTTTGAGAATCTGAGAATTTTTACTTTGTGCTATTTACAGAAGCAAGACAGCTGCCTTAACAGATGTCAGGATAAGGACCATGAATGAAGTCATAAGTGGTATGAAGATAATAAAGATGTATGCTTGGGAAAAGTCATTTGCAGAACTTGTGAATGGTTTAAGAAGGTAATCCTGGAAAGATACAGCTTGGTATATGATCTCTATCTGTTTCCATTATTTTACATGTCACTAAGTGCATTATTTTGTGCTTTAAAGTGCAGTTTACTTGAACTTCTTCGGCTTTTTTTTTTTTTTTTAAACGTTCTATAGCAAGAGTGAAGGAATGAAAATATATCCTAAGGGGACAGAAGAAGAAAAAAACCCTTTGTTATTTATAAATTCTGAGGGTTTTTTATGTTTCCTTTTATGGTTGTGTTTAAAAGCAGCAACTAAAAACCTGTAATAGTTGTAACTGAACAATTTAATCCTTGCAGTCCTGTAAATAGCAAGGAACCAATAAGCAGACATTGCCCTTCTGAGAAATACATGGAATTTGACTTTATATCCGAAGTGGTAGCATCCTCAGATAGTGCTCTGCTTCCCTTTCTGCATTTTGAAATATTGTTCAAACCATCTGGGAAGCATGGAGGGGAGAAAGCCAGCAGCTCAACAATTGCCTAGCTGTTCAACTGGCAAGGCCAGCTGACTTTGGTATCCTAAGACATTTCATTTCAGAGGTCCGTCAGCATCTGATTAAAACTTACTCATAAATTTGATTTTTCAGTCAATATTTGCGCTTTTACCTGACAGTGTAAGAGCATTCAGTGCTAAAGGATAACTGTAGGAGTTCAGGTGCATATTTCTTATAATTTAATTTTCATGTTATGTCCTTCTCCAGCATATGAGTAGAATGTTGTTATCCTGCTCTAGATGATCTGATTTTTTTTTCTTTCTTTTTTTTTTTTTTTTTTTAATTTGGAATTCTTTTCCTTTACAAACTTTTAATTTGGACTCCTTTTCCTTTACATCCATGTGCAGGCTTGCAGACTTGCTAATGTTCCCTGAGACGTTTCTTCCCACGCACATAATCCTTTCCTCCTTCAGATTATGAGATCCTGTGCTGATTGAATGTTCTTGATTGATTGAAAGCTTTGCTTTCTTGCATGGAGCCAGAGAGGATATTTCTATATTGAAAGCTTCCTCAATGGGTGTATTCACATCACTAAACTTTAGATTTCCAAGTTCAACACCTCATTAAGATTAGAGGCTTCCTTTTCAGTGATAAAGAAATAATCTCTTCCAAAACACATCTTGAGCGCTCTTTCTTTTCTTTAGCTGCACTGTGGAAAACTGTAGTTAAAAGTCTTAAATTCATCAAGGTGATTTATTGCCCAGTATTTCCACAGCGGCCCTTGACAGTTGCTAAGACGACATCTGAAGTCCTCCATTGCTCTTTTTTCCTGTGGCTATCCGTATTAGTTTCCTTTTATATAATTCCACGCCCTAAGACAGTGTAGTATATTATATACAGCCTGCGGGTAGGCTGTAATTTATCTGATATTTATGGAGAGTAGCACAAAGGACTTGCTGATTATCCACAGATAGTGAGTGAGAGGATTGTTAAGGATTATTAGAGGGTGGGAAAAGAGTTTCATCCAGGATTGTAGAAGTAATTGAATTAGACCCAATTCAAATAGTTTACATACAAATGTTCTTTCACTGTACTCTGAAGATCAGAGATTGTGAGCCCTTAAGCTGAAAAAATAAGTCTTTGAAACTCTTTGAAAGTCTGTCAATTCAGCCAATTTGGCAAGTATAGTGGGAAAGTTGCTTAACTAGTTTTCCAGTAGCGCATCCTGCATCCTTCTCTCCATTAAGTCAGGACTTAATTTACTTCAAATTGTATAATCATAACTTGAGTTTCTAATCTTAGAATATAGTTCCAAGTGGAAGGTAGTCAAATGATCAAGATTTTCCCTGAGAATTGCCAGAATATTTGGGAAGAGAAATTAGGAATTGTTTCAGGATTTTTATATTCTGTATTATTTCAAGCAGATAAAATTACAATATATGGGGAACAACTAAGTTGTTATGGCTCTCTTGATAAAGAAATATTGTTGTTTTAATAAGAAGTTAAGCCTGATGGCATCCACGTTGTAGATAGTGCAGTAACATTTTGAGCATTGAACTTGATGAGTCATTTAGAAGTGGAAACTGAAATTTAACTGAAGTGGAAATTGAAAACATGCGCATCAGCAGCTTTTCAATTGCTGGAGGGAGACTTATGTGTCTGTGCAGTACTTCAGTCACTGTTTAGCTCGGGTAATGACTGGCAGAACAATTGGCCTCATGGATCAGTATTTTCTGAATTATAAACCAAAATTCCTAGAGCAAAAGAAGCCAGGAGCAGGGTCCAAATGGGGAAGGCTTTAGACTGAAATGAAAGGAAATAATGCAAATCCTGTGATCCAGCTTGAGGAGCAGCAGCTGAATAGTGGCAGATACTTGGGCCATGGGTGAACTCCTGATCTCTTGGAAGTTGCCCTGTTTTTTCAACTGCAGACTGGGTGTTGATCTTATCAGGAGTTTTGTGACTGAACTCTACTGGATTTTGATATTGGAAGGATAAGGGGTTTGTGTGTACTTGGCCTTTATATGGAAGTTTCTTCCTCTTTGCTCTTGTACGCAACCCAGAAAGATTCAAAGCAGATGAGAATCTGAATTAAAATACTAGTTTGACCAAAGCGGAAAAAGAGAGTGTTTTGGTTTTCTGTCTCTGAAAATTAATTGTTTTCTATTGCTACTAAGATACTAAATACAGTAATTCTCCTCGCTCAATTTCTAAGCCTTTAAAATTCTCTTTTGTTATTTACCATGTAACATACTTTCTTTAAAGTTCTTTACATGTGGGTTGGGGTGGTGCAGGGTTAGGGGAAAGGATATAAAAGTAAAACCCTGAGAGTGGGTTTCCCTCATCCTACTGTTGAGGGCAACTGTAATGAGAGAGACTGATGTGATTGATTGTATTTTGCCGTTTTAGGAAGGAGATTGCCATGGTTATGAAAAGCTCCTACCTTCGAGGACTGAACTTAGCCTCTTTCTTTGTGGCAAGCAAAATAACAGTGTTCATGACTTTCATGGCATATGTACTACTTGGCAACGTTATCTCTGCAAGTCGGGTGTTCGTTGCAGTGTCCCTGTACGGTGCAGTAAGACTGACAGTAACTCTCTTCTTCCCTGCGGCTGTTGAGAGAGTATCCGAGGCAGTGGTTAGCATACGACGAATCAAGGTATGGTTATTGATTTGAATGGTATGTGGATTTCTTCTCTTATTCTAACACTGGTTTAAAGTCACTGACAAAAGCAGCCTTATTTTAGTTTTGCGGTTTGGGATTTTTTTAATGAAATAACCTATTTTGAGAACTGAACGTGTTGCTGTGTATGCACGTGCAAAAACATGACATGCACTGTAGGGCTGGCTGAAACATAGGAGAAAAGTGTGCGTGCAAAGAGGTGTTGTAGACATTTTTGAAGTAAGAGGAACATGTGTACGGATATGCAGTTATGTTGGGATTGGGAGTTGGAGGACAGAGCAGGCAGATGGGAGCTGTAAGATTCATATTCCAGGCGCACTGCACTACCCTGTCAGCTGTGGAGGGCAAGTGTGAGCCCTAGCTGGTGTCTTGTGGCTGCTTTCAGTGCTGCAGTGAAGGCTCAAATTCAGAAAGGATGAACATCAGTAATGCTGCTGGGTTTGGCAGATGGACTTTATTTTGTTTGGTTTGCTGTGTTTAGTGTGTGTTGTGAGTAAAATAGTCACGTTTGCTGTATGTACCAATACTTTTGCATAAACTGCAAGAGTGAATAACTTAAATGCAAAATGTGTTTTGAATTTAAAACTTGAAAGATCCCAAATTGGCAGGTCATTGAAATACAGAATTAAAGCATGCCAGCCATTTTAGAACTTAATTTTGCAAAAAACCCAGGTTCATCTAAACAAACACTTCAGATGAAATCGTATGGCTTTGCATAGTGTCACTGTGCCGTTTGTTGATGAAAGTAGCTAAAAATCCCCTATTTTCTTCTCCATGTGCTCAAATGTACTAAATCAGGTTTTTTGTTGGTAAATTCTCTAACTGTACTAAGCCCGTGCAAAAAACTATGGTAATCTTTGCACTTCAAAGAAGTATTTTGTAAAAGGTGACGCAAATGAAGTTTGAAAAGTTTGCGTGTGAAAATCATGACCACAGCAATACTGTAGGCGTTAACACTTACTGCTACTGCTTAACCTAAACTGCTGGGGGGGAGAGAAGTGCTTGGGATACTGGATGCTGCACACTGTCTTTTCTGTACTCTCGTATACCCTGTGTTCAGCTGCAGGGCAGTGCTCTTTCAACAGATCTTTCAAGCTGTGCAGGTTAAGAGACATGGATGGCTGAAAAAGATGCCTTTTGAGTAGGAGAATGGCACTTGAGCAGAGGCAGTGATAATCTGTTCCTTTTTTTTTTTTTTCTCTTGTCTCTGTTTCCAGAGTATTCTAGCGGTCACATGATTTTGCTTCTGACAGCTGGTTCCAATTCCCTTGCACTTATGATTCCTTAAGGATGGTTTCTGGAAACCAGCTACAGAATTGAGGTTCATTGGGCAAACAATTGTCCTAATAAATCTGTAGCATCCTTGATGTCGTCACCATCTTCTTGGCTTCCATTTCCCAAACTGTTTCGGGGTTGGACGTTTTGCTACTGAATGACAAGAAGCTGCCTGACCAAAGATGTGGTTTTGAAATGTAAATAAAGGGAACGGAATTAGGAGAAGAGAGTGGGAAATATAGAAAAAAAATTATTAAGATGATGGCTAGGTGTATTTGGGCAAAACTGAATTTTTTTTTTTTTAAGAAGATGCTTTCCCTTAGGTTTTGTAGAACGAGAGAGGTTTTTGCACTGATATTAAAGTGCGCTTAGATGGGAGAAGGAAGCAGGAGATAACTGTGCTTCAAGTGACAATAAAGATGGATAGTCAGATGGGAAGTAGTAGCCTTTCCTACATATTAATTTATATGTACATATAGGAACTGTGTGGCAAAAAGAATAGCAGTCTCCTTATTGTGTTTTTTGCCTAATCGCTCTTTTCCCCTTACCCTAGTTACGCATCTGAGAGCTGGTCTGCATCTCTTGAAGCTCATTCACTCTTCTGTGATGGAGCAGTAGGCACAAGGTCCCCCTGTGAAACTAAAATGAGAGCTGTTGTTTTTTAGAGGGCTCTTTTGGCAGACACACAGAAAAGAGGATAAGTTTCAGCTGGGTACAGAAGACAGAGGTTTCTCTTTCAAGGATAAAGTCGTATCTCCAGCTAATGTTTGTTTCTCAGCATCTTGTGAATGGTAGCAACTTTATTTTTCACAGCATGGAAGATTATGAAGTACAAAAAGAATGGAAGGGTGTTTTAAGAGAACTTCCAAGAGTCGCTAAGGATTAAGTTATTTGTTGCATTTGAAAATTCTATTTCTAGTGTTGGTTTTTTTCCCCCACTGTTTAAAATTTATGGTGTTAACCATGTAACATTTTTCTTCATTTGTACTAGTTTTATTTGAAATTTTCCATACGTGATAGTGTAGCATTTTTGAGTTAAATGGCTAGCTAGGATTTATACCTGGGATGAATGCTACTGCTAGAAGAGAAATTCCTGGTAAACGCAGAAACAACAAAGGACTGATTCCTTGCTCGTAACTGCCATGGTATTTCAGCCATCATCTAAATCCAAATCACACTTCTGAGGTCTTTTCTCAAGCCACACACCCCAGTACTGATTTAGGCTGTATCTAGAGTTTCTTTCCCTGCCTACCACTCTCTTATCCCGAGTTCTTTTTTACACACATACCCGTTTGGGCCTGCCTATCTAAAACCACAGTCAGCAATACTCACCTGGCTGGAGAGCTCAGGCATGTGTGGCTTTGCACTTTTGCCTTTTACCGGAGATAGGTGTATATGTGCATTGGGTTTGCAGGCTGCTGCATTAAATCGCTTGACTTCTCACCGCTCTCTGAAACGATACCCACTAGCTGAAGTTTGAGCAGTACCTCTGTGCCTGCAAACACCTAGCAGTACTCTGCCTGCCCTCCCATGGCTCCTGACATTCTCCTTCTGCTTCCTCTTAGTTACTGACTTCTGTAAGTCTTCAGCAGGTATCTCATGTCTGCAGACTGTTAGCTCAGTACTTGTTTAACTAGTCTTGGCTCCTAAGGTCAAAACCTTCCTTCTTTTCTCAAACTATTGTCTGCTAGAACCTGTTTTAAGGTCTTTGTGCTCTGTGATTGAAACCATGATAGAATTTTTCTGGTTTTGTCTTAAAATCGTGCTGTTATCCTTGAAAGTCTTCTCTAGAATTTGCCCCTTTCCTTTCTAAATGTGTTTGAGCTATTATGTTCAGACAGTGTTCTGCAGCCTTTTTGTCACTTAGAGAATGCTTAACAGGGACAGTGGACAGCTTCTTACCATGTCCTCATTGTTCTTCTGAGCGAAACAACATAAGCCTTTACCATCAAAGCAACACCATAAGGTGTTGCAGTGAGGGTGTCACCTCTTGTGCATGGGAAGAGGGAGTCAAAGGATTGTATGATTTGCCAGTGTTTCAATGAAAAGACAGGGCAGGTTAAGGTCCATCTACTTCAGGAATTCTGTTTTATTGAGCAGGTGGTTGTTAAGAGTCCTGTTGTACTTTTATGCTATTAAATCTTTACTTTTGCAGGGGGGACACGACAACAGCTATTTAGAGGTACACAACAACAGCTAGTTAGTTAGAGGTACGCTGTTGAAGGAGTTGCGTGTTGCTTTGGAAATGTAATTCCTTGATCAATTTGTGGTTGGTTTTCTCCCCCCGTAATTCATGTTCTGTACGCTGCTTCCAAAAACATGTGCCTGGGTTCCTTTCCTACTCTCAGTCTCACAATAGGCAATATCCTATGCTTTTCTTTTATTGCAGAACTTTCTGATACTTGATGAGGTCTCACACTTCAAGCCACAACTGCATGGTAATAACGAGAATGCCATTCTTCATGTTCAGGATTTGACTTGCTCTTGGGATAAGGTAAATTTACTTCTACTAAATGTAAAGTATATTGGCGCTACAGGCATTTGAAGTCTAAAAAGCAGTGTGTCTGTGATGGTTTTTATTCCATCTTTTGTATATGAGAATCCTTTTAGTATGTTAAGCTAACTCTGTAGAATAGTACTGAAAACACTATCAAATACAACTTAAAAGTAGCTATTCCTGAATATTACACTAAATGAAAGTCTGTGCTTTTCTGTGTGAAAATATCTCTTGTTATTAAAAAATACTGTATTGTAGTTGAGATCCTTAACTTGGAATTAGGGACAGGCAGCACAGTAAGGTGGGCCTTAGCGCGTGGCTTTTTTTCCTGTGAACTGAATGCTGATCAGTCCATTAGTCTATAACCAGTACAATATTATACTTCTCATAACAGATTTGAAAGCTTTAGAGACTAGTCTACACATGTTTGTTACTGTGTATTTTAATTGAGACTGTTCAGCTACAAATTGTTCTCTGCTTAAAATGCACCAAACCCACCAAAATGACTAGAAAAAGGGACAATACGCAGGTGATAAATCTATTATGTAACCTTTTCTGAAAGAAAGGCAAAGATTGACTGTTGTTTCTGTTTTAAAACTGCAATTGCTATGGTCAGCAACAATTTGTGATGAATTGTTGGAGCTGTTACAAGCTGCCAGTATCCTTGCACAAGGGAAGCTTCAGTCTCCATAAGAAATGCAGGAAGGTCTAAAAAAGGAATGTTGCATATAAATGTCATGCAAATATGACATGTCATGTGTTTCCCTTTATATACCCACTTCCCCTACATGTGCTGTCTCCCAGGGAAGACAAATTGTGAAAACATATGTGAGGATCTACCTACTACTTCTACTCAGCTACAAAAGAAAATTGCTGTATAATTGTGCTTTACTTTCTCAGAGTTGTCTCTGTGACATAAATCTTTCTGAGACACTGAATAAATTTTAAAAAATTAATTGATACAAAAAACTTAATGGCGAATATACATTCTAATACAAAATGGAATGTGTTTCTTAGTCTTTGTTGTCTTCCCAAACCAACATTGGTACTGCTGTTAACAATTTATAGGAAATAGTTGCATAATATGCCCATAAAACACCTTTTTTTTTTTTTTTTTTTTTTTTTTCCCCCCCATGAGTTGTTTATATTGCATAAAGCAGGGCAGTATGACTGGAATTACTGGTTTCCTTTTGATTTAAAAAAAGCCCAAACCAACAAGCCACCCACAAAACTGTTAATGTAATTTTCTTTTTGATATTTAATTGCAGTGTGCATGGGAGAAGAATAGTTCTCGCAGAACCATTAAGAGCTGTTCAGAACGTTTCTCTTATGTACTCCTTCAGTGATGCAAAATAATTGTGTAGAGTTGCTCACTGAAAAGATGATGAGTTCTGAGAGAGAGAAGTTATAAAAGGAACAATAAAAATATGCAATCCTTTGTCAGGTAACCAACTTAGCTTGCTACCCTGACAAGGCTCCTCAGGACTCTTTGGATCTCTGTACAGACACTGTACAGCTGGATGATAATTTTTTTATTTTTAAAGATTGTGAGCCAAAAGAGATACTAAAAAACCCCAACAACCCACAAATCCAAAATCGCTGGAAGTAAAAAAGGGATTATTAGCTAGACTTTCAGGAAAACAACCTAACATGGTGTATTACAGTTTATCAAAAGATAAACAAAACCAATTAATTCATGGTCACACTCTTGTTTTACTAGCAAGCATTATCTTGAGTCCCACAGGCTAGTCTAATACCAGCATGGGACTAGGGATTCTTCAACGTGGGTTTTTACTGATGTGCCTCGAGTTTACAGAACAGTCTGTCTGCTCAACTGAGCAAACTTCAGATTTAAAATTCAAACATTTGAACAGAGGCCAAATTTATCCCTTGTAATTTTAGTCACTTAAATGAGGAGCCTGAGTAGTATAGTACTTCTGTGCAATATATGATATCTGTATCCTCTCGACGGGATGAATTGCTTCTTCCTCTTGACTGTAGGACGTGTAAGGTCTGCCCAAGCTCACCTAAGGAGTTGCTGCCCCCGACAGGATCATTTTTGTGTCCTCCTGTCCTTGTGTGCTGTGTCTCTGTTCCCCTCCTTGTGCTGGTGTTAATGCTTGTATGTACAACTCTGTGGTGAACCAGTTCAGAGGGATAAAGCAATAGAAAATGAATCACTTTTGATGTGATTTGTTTTCTGATAGATGAACCCCATGAACAGCCCATCTGCAAGGTTAGGCAAGAGCAAGTGGCAGAAGAAAGGAAGACGCAGATAGTTGACAGGGCACAGGGGAGCTGGGACATTTGTGGTAATGAGCTGTCAGATGAACTCAGCTGTAATATTAGTCTGTGCTCTAATTTAAGTTCCTCAGTTTAGTGCCTAAAAATAGGTGTGATGAATTCAGGACAAATTGTCTTTAATTATAAGGAGTGCTGTTTTGCAAAAATACCGTGCCCCTTAGGTATTTGTGGCCATGCTGTTTGCTTGCATTACTGCTTTTGTATAGGGTCTATGATATCTTACAACATTGATTTAGTATATAATATTTGGGTAATAGTTTAAAAACTTTTTTGAAATTTTCTATACTGTTTTTAGGCTCTTATCCTATATTTTTTTAAAAAACCTGAGCATGGGAGAAAATATCTTTGCGCTTTTGTGAATGCAGAAGCACAACCTCAAGAGGTCTGAAGAAAAGCCTGTGTCTCAATGCTTATTTACTTTTTCCATATAGACTAATTGATTATTAAGAGTTATTTTCTCTTCCTACAAACTTTGCGTTGAAAGAAAAAAAGCCTTGGCTGCCATAAGTTGGCAGAATTTCCCTGACCTTAGCACTAGCTCAGCACCTGAGCTGTGTACTCTGGACCGAGGAATCAAATTCATGGTAAAATACTGATTGGGGGGGGGGGTGGAGGAAAGGAAAAAAGCCCCGTTGATGCCACCTTGTGGAAATTAATAATAGCAACAAAAGTAGTTTTGCAGAGTTGCACAACGCGGACGAGTTTGGGTTCTCGCAGTGCGACTCTGATTTCGTGTGAACCCTGAGGTGCTTCTGCGAGGTGGGAGCTGTGATGGGGGACGTGCAGCTGCGAGCTCTGGGTACGGTGCTGCCTAACCGAGTATTTCTCCTGGCATGTGTGGACGCGTGTGTGTTAGCCCAGCTCTCCCAGCCATCAGAGGTATGGATGGATACTGTACCTGTGACTCTCCCAAGTAATTTGAAACGAGTTTCAAGCTTCCCCTTTTTGCAGTTCCAGAACTTGGTCATACGGAATCGTTTGTGCAGGGTTAGGTGATGGCCTCTTCAGCCTCTTGAGCTTCAAAGTGTGGCTTGAGATTTTAAGCACTCTGCAAGCTCTTAAGAGGTACACCAGATATTCTTTACCTTTTTTTCTGGAGCTTAAAGCTGGGTTTTCATTTGGTCTTTTAATAGAAATACTTCTTTTTTTTTTTTTTTTTTTTTTTTTTTTTTTTTTTTTTTTTTTTTTAAATGCGTATCTTTTCCTGTTTGCATTTTAGTGTCAGTCATGCTTAGTGTGGTCTAAGATGCATGTAAAGGCATGTAAAGGCAGATCCTGTTACAAGGGTGTTTTGCTTTAATGAGAAGGGAACTGCACCAGGCCCTTAGGAATTGCGGTTTAGCATAGGTATTAAAGACATGAGCATCCTTTCTTTTCACAAGAAATAGACATTTTTACAACCTTGATAGGAGAGGTGCAAAATATGTTGGGAAATAAGCTTTTATCAGCAGTGCAACATAAAGGATAGGCGTACTAAAAAGGAATGTTAGACAAACAATCCTAGCATCATAGTGTATTTTCGCACAAATAGCCCACTATATTGTCCGTGGAAAGTCTCTGAGAATCCACGATACGCAAGTTGTGTAAAATCAAAGAGCATTTTTCTGTTTTCACTTTGGATAGAGCCTTGACATGAGCAAACAGACCTGGCTTTCCTGGGGCTCCAAGAGAGCTTCTCAACCCTCCCTTTTTCCAGCATTTGTCTGGCTACTTGGAGTCGCTGAGCATGCCGTGCTGGAGCCGTGAACGCCGGTGCGATGGCCAGCAGAGAGCTCCTGTTTCCAAGGCTGCCATCCCTGCCTTGAGCTGAGCTGCAGCGAGGACGCATGGGCCTTGAGGAAGCGCTGTTTCTGCTGCCTTTAGGTTCCGTCTTCCTTTAACACCCTTTTTATCTGTCTGGTAGGATCTAGGTGAAGGATCCAGGGTCTTTCAGAAGTGTCTGTGAATTGCTGAAGAGGCAAACTGTATGCCTGAAAAAATGGTGGGCATATGGGTTGCTAATTTATAGTTATTTACATGCAGTGTTTTCTGTTTCTAAAGAGTTGTTTTGATGGTGCATATTTCACTACTGAGGAAGCCTAACTTTTTCTCAAATCCATAGAGTTTAGAAAGCCCAGCACTTCAACAACTTTCATTTACTGTCAGACGAGGGGAATTACTGGCTGTGATTGGTCCTGTAGGAGCTGGAAAAGTAAGTCTTAATGTTTACTCCATTCTGTGGGGTTTTTATGAGTCTGTTAAACATGACTAGAAATTTGAAAATGAACGGTTCCTTTCTGCGTATAGTAACACACTTCACATCAAAATACTGGCATTCAAGAAAGGCAGATATCCTTCTGGAGGTGGGGAGGAGGTGGTCCGGCGTTAAACAGTACTTTCTACATTGCTTCTTGGCTGCATGTAAAGGGTACAGCTCTTCTGCTGTAAGCAGTAGTTTGAGTGACAGAGTGAAACAGGTCATTGTGCCAGTAAACACTGTTCAATCTCTGTGATGTCTTTAATGCAATCAAACTTTTCAATTTTTATTTTATTTTTTTAATTTTTTCCAGTCTTCACTTTTAAGTGCTGTGCTTGGTGAGCTGCCTAAAGATAAAGGTTTGATAAACGTTACTGGAAGAATTGCCTATGTTTCTCAGCAGCCTTGGGTGTTTTCTGGTACAGTAAGAAGTAATATACTGTTTGACAAGGAATATGAGAAAGAAAAATATGAAAAAGTTTTAAAAGTCTGTGCTCTTAAAAAGGTATGGTTTTCTCTTTGTATGTTTTATTTTCATGATCTTTATCTGAGTGTTCTTTCAGACTTGTGGAATGTGCTGTAATATATAATATATAGATTTTATTATTAGTAGTAGCATGTGAAATAAATCCTATCGCTTAACAGAAATATGTGTAATTATTTTTGACATGTGTGTGTAAGCATATTCTTGTAATTCCTAAAACTTTCACTAGAGGGTGGTGTAGCTTATGTGAAGCACAGACAAATTTGGAAAAGGCTATTCCCAATTATTTAATTTCATAATCACGTTTAGCCCTTTTCACTGGTATTATGGTAGGTGTGTGTGTAAATGCAATTAAAAGGTGGAAAACACATGATCAAGCTAGCGTTATTTGTGACTTCCATTTTATAAATATCCTATGTGGTTTTTTAAAAATAAAGATAATGTATATCATGTATTATGCATTGCTGACGGCTATCAAAAGAACCTTAGTGCTATATATTGGAGAACTTGCTGAGCCCAAGTAGTTTCATGAAAAAATATTTTTGAAAGGTCTGTGTGCAAAGGAGTTTGTGACATGAGATATAGAAGAGGATTAAGCCAGATTTGTCAAGAAACAGACATTTTGCTTGGCAGCTAAAAAGGTTTTATGCAGCATGTTACGATACTCCTGTCAGCAGAGACACAGGTGAAAAGCAGATGGTTACCGTGATGAAAATGTTTTTGCAAGGTTTTTACACATGGTAGATGGAGTTTTAATATCTTCTGCTGATATTCAGTCATATGCTGTTGTCTAAACTTCAGGTTTTAGTGACTTTAAAAGACAGCAAACTGCATTTAAAAAAACCCCACTTCATATTTGATGGTAGACTTGCTTTCATAGTTTTCTTTCAAATTTATGTATCTTATAAAAGCTGTGAATAAACTTTCAAAATATGTTTTATATTTTCCTGCCTGGGAAATACAGTAATATGACATAAAACACTGTATAATTTTGTTCTCTTGCTCGTAGTCCCAAGCCCTGCAAATTAACCAAATTTGTGTGATGAATGCTTGTGGTTATTTCTCTTGGATACATTGCAGTAAGAATAAAAGCAATGCAGTTCTTAGGGACATTGGCAAATGGAAGATAATTTACTGATAATAGTTCAGTTTTATTTATTGTGACAGCTCATTTTGTTCTAGTAAAAAAAAAAAAAAATTACACTTTTAATTCTTAATTTTAGTTTGATTTTCTTGAATCACCAGCAGATATTCCTTGTAACACCAGGAATGGTAGTACACTTCCCTATGGCAAAGCTGTAGAAAAACTGAACTTCAAGATCTCACCTATTTTTCTTGGTTTCTTAATTGTCCTTTGCTGAAGGTACAAAGTCATAAAGTGACTGCAGATATTTCATTTAGTATGTATCCTTGTATTTTAATATGAGATGATAAGTTAATACTTTTCAAATAAGAAAATGTTATGTTGAAGCAGCTTTGTTGGTCTTTGAAGTTAAAATGATTATCTGTTCTTTCACATTCACAGGACTTGGAATTATTGGCAAATGGTGACCTAACAGTAATAGGAGATCGTGGAGCTACGCTGAGCGGGGGACAGAAGGCCCGTGTAAATCTGGCCAGGCTAGTGGTTTTTGCTGTTTCTAAAATTTTGCAAATTGTCAGACTTTAGTGACTAAGTAAACAAATGTAAGACTTTGTAATGCTGACTTCTTAAACCTTTTAGAGCTGTGTATCAAGATGCAGACATCTATCTTTTGGATGATCCACTGAGTGCAGTAGATGCTGAAGTTGGAAGACATTTGTTTGAAAAGTACGTTACTGCTTTATTTTAATTTAAAATACAATTGTTATCTTCTAATTCCTTCTAGAAAAACTTGAGAAAGCATTTTTGGGGAGGTGGATCTCTTGACAAAACTTAATGCATACACTTTCTGCATTTATTTTTCCTCTATTTTGTATAGATGGAAGTTGTACAGTTTTTTCTCTGTGTGTTTAATTTTGTTCTTTATCTATAAAAACCCTGTAAAAATCTGTTTTGAAGATACTAGAATTATTCTTAAGGGAATACATGCCATTTTCTTGAGGAAAATGTCAGATTTCATGTATGCGTATTGGGGCTTATGAATGTTAGTACTGAGTGAAGAATAATATGGGGTGGGATTTTAAATCACTTTTTAGTTTTCTGCAGCTTTATCTGAGTAATAATAAGCACTTCATTCAAGTGGCTAAAGAAAAGGACAGAACTCTCTTAGATTCTTGAATAATTTTTCTTTTTGGTTCTTGAATGGTTGAAATTTCTCTCAGGAAAGGGAAACAGGGAACTATGGCCTGCAGAGTAGACTCTGGAGAGCAGAAAGAGGGGAAAAGAGAATGTACAAGCTCTTACCATGAAAGAGAGAGAGATTGGACCTTCCCCTGTTCCTGAAAGAAACAGGAGAGTGTTCATTAAAAGTCAAGTTCCCTTCTCAATAAATCTCGTGTTCTCTGTCTCTCTCTTCTTTCAAACTGCCTAATCTATGGCACATAGTGAGTATGAGAATAATCCAGTTATTCCCAGCTGGTGTTTTGTCTTTCCTTCTTCATAGCCTGTGCCTCTCAGTATCAAAAGGTACAGTCTAGAATTTATTAGAAGTAGTAGGAAAAAAATTCCATTGACTGAATTCAGTGGGCTTTGGTTGAAGTCTTAAATGAGAACTTTTTTTGAGCATACTTGCATCCTTTAAATGTCACACTCTAAATACATGAATTGATCTGGTTTTACTGTAGTTCCCTCCTCTCCACCCCTAGACAATCATAAACACTTGTCTTGCAGAAATGGTCATAGAATTTGCATTGACTAGCATTGCGTGCATGTTCTTTTTCCCCACGTGGGGAAGCTTTTAGCATCTAAATTTGAAAATTATATATCCTAGTGATGTTTGCAGTTTCAAATCTGGAGATCTGAAACCCCATCAACATTTTGTTTTATTTTATTGATTTCTTCAAATGGCTACTGTTTGTTTCCGTCAGCCAGCATGGAGTAAGAGTTTTATGATGCATAGGCTTTATGTTCATTCTTCTATGCAGGATCATTTTCACCTGCCACAACTGATAGATGGAGTTCATTACTTCCATAGTTCACATACTCTATCAAATTCCTTTAATGCCTGTTGAAGCTATCTAGTCTTTAGCTGCTGCTTTTCTGTTTCTGCACGAGATCACTCTAGAACTCCAGCATCTGACTGTGTCGGTGTCTGAGTTCTGGAAGTGCACCCACCTGAGCAGTTAACCTGTCTCTCCCTTATGTTGTAAAGTCTCTTCACAAAGAAGAAGACGGGAAAGTACAGTAGTGCCTTGCAAAGGTCGGGTTGCCTCTTCAATTTATTCTACTTTGTATTTTAGCTGTGACACTGGGAGCATCTACATCCTACTGCAAAACTGGAAGTCTGAATTTTTTGTATGTGCAAAACCCATAAAGGAGCTAGAAACCATTGCTCTGCTAGCACAGTGTGTGTTGCGCTGATAAATGTGTGGAAATGAGGAGGAATGAGGAGATTATCTCAGAGAATTTGAAACTCTGGAAACTAGCTGGGGTTCTTCCTTTACTTTCATTTACTTTTCCTCCCCAACTCTAGATCAGTTTGAGCAAAATGGATAAAAGCAGAATGAAAGCATTTTGTGGAGAAAATGGACGGGGTGGAGTAATAGTGGCAAGGCAAACTGAGCAACGCCTCCCTGTTCAAGATCTTAAGGGAGGGCTTTTTTACAAGCAGAAGTTGTCTTCTGAGGTCTTCATGGCAGCTATAAAAAGCGCTGGGGGTAGTGGGCAGAGTGTTATGTTCAGTAGCTTGCTTTGAAAAATGAGGGAGGGCATGTTCTTTAATGCTTCCTGCATGGTGCTAGAAATGTGGAGAAGAGAGAGAGCACTTGGGCAAGAATGATTTCTTAGAATGCGGTGCTGAGGAATGTCCGAGACACCACTTCATACAAGCTGGCCCCGGGAGTCCAAACCGCGAGGCATAAAACAATGGACAAGATGGAAGAAACAGGGTGTTCTTTAATGAGAACCTGAAATGGATATTCACTCACTCTTCCCCCCCCCGCCTTGTAATTCTATATTAATATTTAATTTTTTTAGAAGTGTCTAGTCTGTGTGTTTACATCTAAAGATAGGCATGTTCCTAGTAATTCCCTGAAGCTATGGTCTGTGGATGGTTGGTTCGTTACATTTGCTGCTTCTCCCTGTTCTGATCAGCTAGTGCAGCAAACAGTTTAAATATATATAAATACTTTTCAAATGAGAAAGAACGTGAGTATCACAGCTCCAGTGGGAAAACAGTCCACAATATTATTAATAAGGGATTGTGTCTCTTAAGAATTTCTCCATAATACAGACAAGTTGTTCTGTGGCTGATGGAGCAGATAAAGCCAGTTTTCCAATGAATTCCTCTCTTCTGGTCAGATTCCTTGGGGCCTAGTAAGGTATAAACTGGATATTCCCTAGTCGTGTGTTATTTGTAGCCTCTTTTCCTGTGACTTCTCTTGGTAGTTAATAGTAGGCATGCTTCAGCCTTTTTCCAGTGGGGGGGGCACCAGTATAGTTCTATGGTTTTGTATATATTTGCGTGTGTATATGAAAATATGCATATATTTATATATATTTATATAAATAAAAATAGCTTTTAATTAACTTCTAAGGCATGTGGTATTTTGAGACCTCTAGTTTTGAAATGAGGGACAGCCATGCAGATATGGTAGCACCTTTGCTTGTATGATGATGTTTGGAATAGCCTGTGATGTTCTGAAAATCCTTCAGTCATGCTAGGACCCCAAGAAATTTCCTGCTCTCCCTGTGCATCTTTTAAAACATATTTCTGTAGATTGTATGGTTTCAGATCACCTTTGGATAGAAATGAAATTTTGTCCCATCAGTGATACTGACTCAAAAATGGTGGTTTTAAGAGTGAGATTTATATTTCATTAGTCTGTTGAGACAGATGCTCTTCTCTGGGTATTGTTCTTCCCTTGTATCTTTTCCAGTGACAGGAGCTGTATGCCCGTCTCAGCTGGCGATCAGCCTGATTTCTTTCTATTCCTCCTCTGTGCTTGTGAGAGTAAACAGAATTGCAGGACAATTTGGGACTCTCTTAAAATCAGACCTAAAGTTGTGATGATACTTGAGAGTGGTATGCACAGGTGTATCATTTCTACTACCAAACAGAATTCTGCAATTATTATTTTATTTTTTTTTAGGAGGAGGCTGTTTTGAATGTATGATCATTTGTCTTTTTTCTCTCAGTTTTGCCTCTGGAACTAGAAAAAAAGCTGCAGAAGAAATCACGGCATTTATCGCAGCACAGTAATGAACTTCAGCATCTATTCAGATGGAGCACCTTGGTATGAGGCGATGGCCTCCTGTAGGAATTCAAGGGACATGTAACTGGGCAGTGGGTCATGGGATAATCATATGTTGAGGCTGACCAGAGAGTCACCTGGCAAGCTGACCAGGTGTCCTGAAAGATAAAGTCTCTCCATTGCCATCTGAGGTAACTGAGTGTTCCTCTGCAAGAGAGGGAAGGGAGCAGGCATGGTTTTGTAGCAAAGGTGTCCTTTCTAATTGCAGAAAAAAGTGAGGAAGAATTGAACTGGTGACAAAGGAAAGCGGGAAATTCCATCATGTGAAGTGCATGGATTAAGAGATCCTGAATTCCTCAGTGCATTGTTACGTAAGCCCCAGAAGTGTTTGAGGGGAGAAGCAAAATGAAGTAGGGAAAATGAGTAAAAGGATTTTTTTTTTTTTAATTAGATATACAGATCTGAATATTTACTTTGTCTGTTTAAAGTAATTTGATTTTTGGAACCCTTAGGAGTCCATGAATGCTTCTAGTCTCATATCTCTCAAAGTGGGGTATGCTTATAGATCTCCTGAAATGTTGGATCTTCGAGGAAAAAGCGCTATTATGTTGGTGTAGGTAATTAAAAGCAAGCGGAACTCATCAGTCCTGTAAAACTAGCAGATAAAAGCTAGAAGGTCTCGTTTTCTGTAGGGGGATTACAGACACACGGTGTGTCAGAGGAACCAAGCAAAGATAACCCTGGTGTGTACTTGTCAGTGCTGTTTTTAAAGGCATATGCATATTACACGCTTTGTCCACTGATGACAGGTGTACAGGGGAGTTGGTGTGTAAATTTAATGATTTCACTCTGCTCCCTTTTGGGCAGGATCTCTCTAAATCAGGGATATCTCTAAGGCTTCCCACTTTGTGTTTCACACCCGCTCCATGCTCATTATGCTGCTGATACCACTACAGTGGTTACAGCCCTTATGAGAAGTACTGAGCAAACTTGAATGCCTTGTGCCTCTTCTTTTGTATTACAGGTGTTGCTCTTAAAAATGTATTAGTTATACCTTGACATTTAGGTGATACAATTGAAATTCCTTGAGCTTTGTTGTGTTTATTTTAGGGAATATGTTTAAAAGGTATCACTATATTGTAGTAATGTTTCTTGGGGTTTGGATTTTTTTGTTTTTTTTTCCAGAACATGAGAGGCATAAGTGTGATCACTGTACGTTGTGTGTTTAAAAAAAACTGTAAAAATTTTACAGAAATGTGTGTGGGTTTGGTTTTTGGTTTTTTTTTTTTTTTAAACATGCGATATAAAAGCAAAAAAACCCCACTTGCAGAACCCCAGTGTAGTTTTGTGCTTTAGTGGTCTGTGGGTGCAGTTGTAGAACAGTATTTTGAATACTAAACCAGAAATGGGCTCAAGAGGGAAGTATGCAAATTCATGTAGCAAAAGTTCATGAAGAGCTACTTGAACACTAAGATC